AAGTGCCTGGAGTTCTTTAAGCATGTGACTTCCCTGCTTTGGGAATGGCCGTTCCCAGAGCAAGCTGCAATGTCTGCCTCAGCAAAGTAACTCCAACCCCGCTCTGCAGCTAACGTTGCCACCGCAGCCTAAATGAACTGTTAAGGAACCTGCGTTAACACCAAAAAGCTGGTTTCATATAGAAATGACCTTTACAGGAAATGCCTCTGTGTGTATGCGTCTGTGTGTTTGGAAAAATTTCGGTAAAAGCTTATCTAAAAAAATTCCACTAGAAAGAAATGCTCCATGCTTTCATTCCAGAAAGTATCAGTGGTTTGGCTCATACTGTCTGGAACAGATCAGAGCAACCATCTGCTTTGTCTCCTGCCATCTTCCTCAATTCCTAACGGTTTTTAGACCATTTTCATCTTTAGGAGGTGTTCCTCCATGGGAGTTGAGGGTAACATGGGTATTTGCCCGGCATCAGAGGGATGCCAGGAAACCCTACTTGCTCTGGCTGCAGTGGGAGCCTTCAGGGCTGCCAGGGGACATAGGAGCTGAAGCCCTGCAACACGTCTTTTTGGCTCTGCAGCAAGATGCTTCACACTGTGGGTCCTGAAAAAAACTTCACCAGAGTTGCGACCTTCATAATACGGCTTCTGAAGCAGCTGCCTGGTCAGCTGGCAGGAAACGAGGCCAAAAATATCCTCTGCTTGTGGTACATCCAAAGTTTATTTACTCTGATATTCTTTGGTGCATCATTTTGGCTTCAAAGGACAGCCTTGTTAGTTGGAAACTTCCTGACCAGCTGTGGTTTGATATTCAGCTAACAAAACTGAGGGGAGCGGATGAGCAGCAAGGGGATTTTTTGTGAGCATGAATAGGCAAATGAACCAAAACCCCCTTTTTCTCTTTATCCTGCTCCCCCAGAGGAAGGACAAGAACAGTACTCTGAATTCTTGAAGTTCCTGTGGGTATAGGTATAATTTCTGCTCACCATAGTACGTCCCTGATCATGAGGCAGAGAGTTTCAATGTAACATGGCCTTTAAAGCATGGATATTTATTCTAAGATACATGTTGAATTTGAGCTCTATATTTTATGTTTTGATTACTGCATAGTTCAGAAAACCCATAAAACATCTTGACACCCGGTAAAATAATATTATTATTAATTATAAGAGTTACCTGACTGATTCTGATATACAGCAAGGGATGGGAACAGCTGAATGATACAGATATTTTGCCAGTACGAAAGATTTTCTGGCATGCCCTGCAACATATGCTGTTGCTTGTCCATCTTCCTCTGGGTGGAGTAACCTCTCTATCGTCCTGCAGCTACAAACAGACACTTAGGTTCTATTGCTACTCCACTCCAGAAAAGGAGGAGGCTTTCCTCTCTTCTGATTAGCAACATAGTCTGAAGGTTTTATTCAACTTCAGAGAACATTACAATAGGCAATATGGCATCCTACTGAATGCTGTGTTTAGACATGCAATTAAATTGTAATTCGTGAGCGTAATATTCTGCGCAGTTCCTACAAACAATGTTCAGCTGAATCTTGCAGCAGTTAGTTGACCACATCCTCTAAAGACAGTGGTTTATGGAAGAACGAATTGCAGGCACTGAAGTCTAAACTAGGAAAGCACTTCACACACTCAACACTATATTCAGGATGAAAATTATAGAATATCACTTCCTTGGAACACTCAGTAAGACTAAACATGGTCTTTAAGCTAGACCCTTAAGCTAGACATGAATTTTACTGTGTGTGGTCGTAGTTTGTTAAATAGGCTGGTAGTCTGAAACAAGGTATTAACCAGCTCTCAAACAGGCAGTATAATTTTACACTTGGAAAGATAATTTGTTTTTACAAGCAAACTATTTATAAAGTATTGGAGATACATTGGCACTACAAAAGCAGTAATACAAAGACATTAAGTAATAATGAGATTAATCACGGCAATTACTAAGAAGACAATAAAGTTTTCTTACATAGCTTTTAGATTTCTTATTTCCTCTAAATGAAAAACACATTTACTCTGTAAAGTCAGTTCAGTTAAGATGTAAGATTTGGTCTCCAGTGTGACTTTCCCCAGCCACTATCAAGAGTCAGTACCACTAGTCCAATACAGTGCCATTAGCTTGACTTGGATAAGCAGGGACAGGGTATACTAAAGATCATAAGAGTTATATGAAGAGTGTGGTAATGATGGAGCTAAATTATTCATTCTGCTACCCAATTATCTCTGGTAGCTTTGGGACAGCTGTACAGAGGCCAGATCGTAGCCTACATGAGTGGAACAGCTTACCTGCATTAACAATCACACTGAAGAGTCTTCATTCAGTCTGCGTATGTCTTTTCATTGCACTGGTAGAGTGCAGAACACGGGATTAGCTGAATGTATTTAAGGTGCATTGAATTATAAAGTACTAAAATAGAGTTCACTAGTTTAAATGACTTAGTTCACCTAGTCCTTGGAGTTTGGTCAGACAGATAATATGTATTTTGTCTGCTTCTTTGTTCTTTCAGAGCCATCCATTTATGGCGTGATAAAATCATTAGTGCTGGTTATGTGTCATCATGTAAATGCCTTATTTTGTTACATAGCAGTTACCAGGTGCCTTTTCTTTCAGCTTTGCCATTTGATTGTCAAGATACATTTTCGTTTCCTAAATTATGTAATCTGATTTTAAAAAAACTGCTTATAAAACAAGTAAATACACTGACAAAAGCAAAACATTATTTCATTTATGAAATTTGTTGCTAAAAACAGGACTTTACTTCATTCAGTGTGCTCACTTATTGTTATTTATCAACATTTGTTTAAGGTTGCAATTGAACAAAGGACAGTAAATGCAATTTAGTGTAGAAAGGCAAGGTCACATGGCCTGGGTCTTAGTTAATTTATCTTTCAGGACAGATTCTATTTTCTGCTACTGGTATTATTACCCAGCAATACATTTTTCCCATGATAGTGCATCTGTAGCTCTTGCATTGCCAAACTTAGTGGTAGCATTTAATTTGTGTGACATTATTCAGTTATCAAGAAAAAGTAGCACACACTGAAAAACACAGTGGCTGTTTAACGATAGCATAAAAAATGAGTTCTTGTAAGCAAGAGCAATGTCTCAAGCACTTTCCTAAAAAACACTTTTCTTTCTGAGGCTGCACTATCCTGTTCCTGTTCCTGCCCTGGGAACCTGGGCATTCACCAGGCAGCTCTCCAGATGAAGGTTAACAGGTAGATATGCTGAGACAGTAGACACAGAATAAGTTTGACAATTAAATTTCATATCTTTTTCCATAAGTAATGGCAGCTGGATAATGTGCAAAGACTGCAGCACTGAATTATAGAAAAGCCACACTGAGATCACTAAAGTCATGTAGTCTGTTCCCCTTCCAGTGTAAGATCAGCCCTACATATATAGTTTTCAACAGAAACTAATCTAATCCATCCTTAGAGATCTGCAGTGATGGAGAAGCCATGTAACTTGTCATATATTTCCTATATTATACACACATGGTTTTGTATGACATTCTGATATTCATACCCACGTTAACTGGGATACAGATATACCCATGCCATAAGTGACCCAACAATGTAGTTGTAAAACAGAAATCTGCATGGAGGGTCCTAGCAGGACTCAACAGGGGTTTGTTCTCGACAAAATGTTACTTACATACAAACTGAAAGACAAAGATGGTGGTTGGCATCAGGGAAGTCAGGGAAGCTGGTGGAGTGGCAAATTAGACAGATGCCGATAGTAGAGAATGGTCTGGGTTGCTTTGTTAGGGTGGGCTGATTAGAATATCCCGTTTTAATACAGATAAATTTGCAATCATATCTCTAAGGAACAAAGAGCATAGTTTATACAGACAGGATTGGGCAAAGTGTTTCAAAATGATGCGACATGAAAAGATGTCAGGGTCTTGGTACATAATTAACTGAACATGAGCCTGCAGTAGGATGATGCAATTAGAGAGCAAATGCCAGCGCTGAAGCCTAAGCAGGGAAAATATGAAGTGGGAGTCGGTAGGTGATATTAGTCCTGTTTATAGCAAAAGTAAAATCATCACAGGAATACCGTGTGCAGCTTCATACCCACGCTTCAGAAAGGACTCTGACGGATCAAAAAGTAGTCAGAAAGTCCTGGAAAAAAATGCGTTGAGGTCTGAAAGGCATGGCTTACCATGAAAAACTAAGAATGATCAAGCAGCTTCTCTTATCAAAAAGAAAAGGAAGGAAGACTTTTACTTAAATGTAAAAGATGTTTTTGATTGTGGTTGGCTTTTTAGTATAGGAGAAAAAGGCGTACCAAAAGACAGTTTAGGGTATTTTTCTTTTGAAAAGTAGGAGATAAGTAAGATTTAACTGCAAATAAAGCCCTTAAAAAGCAAACCCACCCAGTGAATAATGAGCCACATTGACAACGAGGTGCTGGATCTACTCCATACCGTTATGTCTAAAGGTCTTTCCAGGGATATAACAATTTCAGGAGAAATTACAGACCTGCTGCTGAGACTTATAGCTGAGGTGCTACAACTTGTGGGATCATAATGATCTCTTCCAACCTCAGAATTTGTGATTAGCTGACTAACATAATTCTACTTTCTTTCTTTGAATTTGATCAAATCATATTGATGCATACCTGCTGAGGCAGTAACCTTAAGTCCTTCAAGTTTGAAAATAAGGCATAATCCTGCCCAGTTTTGTACAGGTTTATGACAACTAAAATCAATAGCCTTGTATTTGAAGACAATCTTGAGCACAGGGAGACTGTAAAGTAGTTTCTGAACTGCACAACCTGTTCCCACCATGGAAAGAGCCATTCAAAAATCATACTGAAACACTGGAACTAGAAACAGTACTTAATTTTGTTTCTACAGAGATTAGTTCTGCTGAATACAGAAAATTTCATCCTTCAGTTTGTCATTTTGTTTATATGTTTTTATATTTGAAATTACATCTAACCGTTAAGTGGTCCTGACTGCAAAAACACCAGACTGTGTTTTCAATAAATAATTCCACTTTAATGGCAAAGTAATAATTTAGACAGATACAGTGTGCACACCTGCAAAAAATATACGCAAGCTGGTTTACAAGCTAGAGGAACAATAAACCAATAGAAAATACATCATCCAGTTAAGTTCGATGACACCAAATACTTATTATTAGGGCTTTACAAAGACTACAAAACTTTTCAGATGATTTATTTCACTGTTTCTGTCTATTTACATGATATGTTACATCAAAAATGTACAAAATATAAAATGTGTACAGACAAATGTTTCACAAACAATTTCTGAGTTGTAAATTAGGTGGACTCACTGAGATGTATTGCAGGAAGTTTTGTATATGTGATATTGTGTATCTGTGTGTTAAATATGGCAGGAAAAAGTTTGCAGGTTTGCTCAGAGCACAGGTACAGGAAAGAGCAGCTTTCCTTTGGTTCTTTGAGTCAGTCAAGGTGTATGCACTGACATTTTGCAACAGAAATGGATCCAGATTTGGGGGGCACGATGTTGGTCTGACTGAACCCTACATGCATAAAATCAGTTGGAGTTTTATAGGGCAATAGCACCGTGTAGGAACCTCTAGATTCAGCGATGCAGCTCAGTGCCATTTGGAAACTGCATTGATTTATCTTTGTTTTACAGCGAGTGACCGCAGGATGGCCACAAAGAGTTAATAGCACCAAATATACATCCTGAAGGTAGCATCTATGGAGGTGTACAGTACATGTCTACACAATGCCAAAGCCCTTAGATACCTTCTTGTTTGTATGCACCTATTTTAACCGGATGCCTCTTGTGGTAAAAGAGCGTTTCCGATTATTCTGAGCAGTTTGAATGCAATCTGGTTGTAGCCTGCCGTGACATATACACTTAAAACATTTTCAGATTTTTTCCCCCCAAAGTGTATTGGCTTCGTATAGATATTGAAACATGCTCACTGTAGCATTGATAGCTCCTGCATAGTCATAGCAACTGTAAATACAGGACAAACACACCAGGTAATAACAGCTTTTAAGGTTTGCATTCTGTATTTGTTTGCAACATACAGGAAATCTCAGCAAGTGAAACATCTCTTAACACCAACAGAATAAAATACAATTTTTTTTGTTTGTTTGTTTTTGATTTGATTTGTGCAAGGCTTTTTTTTTCTTTTTTTTTTTTTCTTTTTTTTCAGTATTTACAATACCCACCCAGTAGACTGTGCAAAACCAACCCACTTTACAGTATAAACTCTTCCTCTTCCACAGTGGACATCACTGCTTCAGTGTTCTTTTATGCTGAATTCTTCATGTACAACAATAGCAATCAAAACAACATGCTAAAACTAGAAAAAGGAAAAAAAAAAACATATATTTGTGCTCATGCTGCATCAAGTGCATCCAGCTCTGCTGGATAAGAATTCAAAACATCCATCCTCCAAAAACTCCATTCTATGGGATCAAATGGATTTGAGCCGATTTTCTCAGCATTTAGGTGGCAGTGGAAGTGGGTTTGGGTTCCTTGTGTATTTCTGAGGGTAGGCAGAGCAATCTATTCACAAGATAAAAATATTATATAGCAACTGTTCTTTCTCCTATCCATTTCTTTAAAAAATCATGATATACAGATATGAGGCTACTGTGTTAACTGACTTTTTCTCATTAGTAAATGAAGAAAAAAACAGTGTAAATTACCAATGGTTTAGGAATTAAACCAACTGTAAAACTGTTCTAGAAATCTGTTTTAAGGCAGTGAGACAGCACCATAAGAAATGTTCCTTCTTTCACTGAAAAGGCTCAAACAAATGAAGCCCTAAAAAGCCTTTAATCAGTGTTGGTTAATAATTGGTATAAAACTGTTGTTAAGGAGTGGGCAGGTGGTTAAAAAAGACCTTTGTGGTAAAAACAACTTTATAAAATCTGTGACTCGTGTACTAAAAACTTAATGGAGCGCATCACCGTGACCATGGCAGTTAGAATTAAATTGGCACTTATCCAGCATATCACAGTCATGTTTTCTGGTGATTGCACAATACTGTTTGTGCTTTCTGAGTTACTGTCATCGTCTTTGACTCATTTTGGAATGGGCAGTAGCATACAACACAAACACTACTGCAGTCCTGTGACCAGCACCATGTGGCACAACAGAGGTTAGAAGAGAATTAGAAGACCACATTGTTCATGCAGTGCCTCAGGGTAAAGTAAAGGAAAAAAAAACAAGAGAAGTTGCACTGTAAACTTGTACAGAGAAACAGAGAGAGAGAGTGAGAGAGAGAGAGAGAGAGGAAAAGGGAAAAAAAAATATTCCAGTTTGGCTAACACGTGTGCAATCTGCTTAGATGCCCTTGGGCTAGGGCCCTTTCCAGTTGACAAATGGAGTCTCACTTGGCTCCATAGGTTTTGAAATGCCTTGAAGTTAAACTAATTCAAGCTTTCCACTTCAATTTTTCTTCCTGACTTTGCAGAGTTAGGTCTCCTGCCTACTTACAACACACCATTCTCACTCAGGGACCTCCGTGTGCTGCTTTAATACTGGCAGTGGTCTAGTGGAAACAGATTTTACCATAATCCTCCACCAAGGTTTGTCCTTTTCAGAGAGTTGATTCAAGGGATGAATCCAAAATGTCATCATGGTGGCTGGTGCTATCACTGTCACAGCTTTGTGCGCTCGAATAGTTGGCTGCCTCTTGAAGCCTCATTAGCATATTCATCTGAAAGAAGAAAGCAATGTTTACATAATCTCGTCTGATTTAATGCTGTTAAAATTTAATTAATCTCCCTTGTTGTATGAGGTGTGCTGGTAGCTAGCTGAGGGGACCATACAAAAGGATTTCAGAAAGGGCAGGGTGTCAGCCGCTCCTCCTGGCACCCTTTTCATTGCCTTCTGGTCTTTAAATAGAAGTTTAAAGGTCCAAAGAGCTAGAGGGATACAATGGAGCTGCCCGACAGCTCCCATTGATTCAGGGGGGAGACCGGCTGCAGCTGCAGCACCGGCAGGGGAAGGAAGCCATATCACAGCTGGGCAGCTGGGCCCATATTTGGAGACAGTCAAGCTTCCAGATAATTTTTGGATGGTGTAGGCACGCTACATTGGAAAAGCAACCGAAAACATAGTCACACTAACATACCCCCTCTGCAAGAGAGAGATGGGGAGGGAGCGAGAGAGGGGTGGACCGAGGCCAGCTGCTTCATCAGAGAATCCCATCTGCTGTTGAGGGGCTGACCTCAGCAGGGGAGCAGCAACAGATCCTCCCACCCAGGAGGGGAGAGCCCCCACGTCATTTGGGGATTATTAGAATCTGAAGCCCATCTGAAAAATTATCAAAAAGCAGCATTAAGCCCTAGAAAATTACTTGGATGCTTGATGCCTAACTCTGTGTAATGATCAGGATTTTATTTATAAAACATCCGCTTCTGCCAGCATGCTCGGGGCTGCAAGCAATGTTGACATTGTTTTAGTGTTTTTCAAGGAACAAATACACTGTCACTACAAAAAAACAAGCAAAGAAAAAGCAAAGGTAAAGAGATTTTCTTGTGTGTTTGTGTGTTAAGCCCCTCTTTCCAGTTTACTCAGGAATCCTTACATCTCTGTGGTTTCAACCTGCACAGCTTGTAAAGATTTCTTTAGGCATTGAACTGCGTTTAATACTCTTTAATGTTATCAGGTAGCTGATAACATGGGAGGCAAGCCCTCCATCCACAAGTTTCAAGCTCCTGATAATTAGATACAGATACTGATGACAGTGTGCAGGGAGCAAAGGTGACGGGACACTGAACTTGAGCTGCCCGAGTGTTTTCACCTCAGTGGAGGCAATGCATATGTGCTGGAAGCCTGGCCAATACTCTCACTGGCAGCCCAAATCACAGGGACAAACAATCCCCCCAAAGCTTATGGACTGGGACACAGGGGAACAAATGAGGTGATTTTCTAAACTTCTTCAGGATGCAAGGTCTGGGTTTGGATACAAAACACTTTAGTGAGGCTGGGGAGTCATTTTCTTAGCTCTGATAAGGGTTGAATGCAGTTTCCTCTGAGAAATTCCATTTTCCAAGGGGTGCCTGTATTCCAGAAGTACAGTTCTCTAAAATGGTATTCTGAATTGTGATAAAGGCAGTCTGTAGAGAAAGCACTATACAAGAATACCAGTTCAATATATGCAATTTAATAATCCATTATCAGAGGAGGCAATAGTAATCCCAAATGTCTGGGATCGTATTTAAATAAAACAATACATGGCACTGAGGGAAATCAACCTCTTATCTTTTAATGCCACCACACTTGCATTCCTTTTACTTTAAGACTGTCATACAGTCATCAGTTATCTTGAAATGTTCTGAGGAATGGGAGGAGGGCTGTCTAATTTGCATTTCCACTAAATTGTCTACGATAGACAAGTTAGATAATGGAAGTTTCTCAGTCTTTCATTTGCAGAATGTAGATGAAGGACTGCCCAACATGGAAAGGTGTTTTTAGAATAAACTGATTAATAAATTGCTGAAGAGTGGTACCCAAACATTATGATGATGAAGACCAGATACATTTCTGGGCAGATGGGAAATGCAAACAATTTAGGGACATATTAACATGATGGTGATACCTGCCCTCTTGCTAGATTTTCCTTTTTGTTTTCATCCTTTTTAATAAATTATAATAGGATTAATTTTAAAAGTCCATTTTGGAACGAGTAGACGGTAGTCTTTTTACTGCACAGTGTACAATTTAACATGCGACAGTGAAGTACCTGCTGAAAAATTTTTTCCCTGGAGTTTAAATCTTACCAAGGGATCCCCCTCTGTATCAGTCTGTGGAACGTGCTTTGAGGTTGTTCCTTCTTTTGCTGATGCATAGCCTTCATATCCAACATCTTCTGGTCTTAACTGAAGTAACGATGGCCACTCATGCTGTAGAGATGCAGAGCTCCATGGATAGGTATCAGCTACCCACTTGGAGGGATCTTCCCAGGGTGCCCTCTTACCGTACATCTATGTTATGGATATAACAGAGTTAAGTATCCTAAAGAGTTTTCAGTATCAGTTGTAAGTAATCAAAAACATCTAAATCATTTTAGTAAGTGGTTGAAAAAATGTGCTGAGCACTCAGATATGATAAGACACTCAAAAGACTTCATCTCCATTAATGCTCCTTCAATACGCAGAGTGGCTGCAAGCTGAAAAGCACTCCATAACTAGTGATCCTTGTAGGCAACAGTGGGAGCCACAAGTTTTTGATATAATATGAAATGAGACCTTTAAGTAATTTGCTTAAGGCATATCGGTGAAATTAACTCAGACCTATCTGAAACATTCAAGTTAATTGGATTTTGTTTGAAGTGAATTAGGAAGTGCCAGTATAGGTTGTTCTTTTCTCCTAGGAAAATAGGATGTAGAAGCAGACGTCTGTCCACACCTTAAGTTTGAGACCTTTCACAAGGTTAAGAGAAGAAATTCACAAAGGATAAGTTTTCCCTACTCTGAAGCAAAAAATGCTTATGAATCTGGAAGAAGGACAGAGGAAGGAAGAATGAGAATATTGTAAGTTTAGGAGGTCTGGTAGTTTCCTCACTAAAATGTACCCTTCCCCACACTGCTGTTCACAGGCAACATATTAACTGAGAGACCCGTGATTGCTGCTCCACAGATTTTCTTTAGCTGTGACAATGACACACTGGGATGGGGAGCCAGTCACCGGGGCTTTCTGTGATTTCTCCTAGCTCAAACAGCCTCATGCAATCCAAGGAGCAGCATAATATTGGCATCATGGAGCATTTAGATGGGCTGCACTCTTAGAGGGAGTAAAACAGTGAAGGATTTTAGTGCTAAAGCCAGGGAGAGGAGTTGTGCTTATCACTGCAACACCTGCTCCCAGGCACCTACTGAATCCAGAGCTCCAGGTTAGGCAGCCAAGTTCCCTATATGATGCACAGAGATACTCAGACTCCCTCTATCCTGCGCTGAGGCTTGGTTTCTATAACAGGGATTTGCCTAAATAATGCAAGAAGAAATGTTACTCGAGGAGGTAGCAGGCTAGCTCCAGGCTCTAGGCAGCACTTCCCCTCATCTGAGATTAACAGCAATTAAATCTTTTCTGGAATCTGGAGCAAGGCTTGTAGATTCTGTGCCTGAGAAGTGAGCTTGCAAAGTACCAGGCTAGAAAGGTATTTTCTACCCATCCTTGGCTCCAGGAACATCTAATTATATCATATAAAAGATTTCTGTTTATTATTAATAATGTTATTCTATGGAAGCCATCCAAAGCAGCTAAACATTGGTTCATGAAACAACATATTTTCTTCTATATGCTGCCATCTTCTGCTCCAGAACTGAAGTTTTCATTTAAGTGGGTACCCTGTATACATGGGAAAATATGAATGTGCAGGATATCACTGCATTTTTATAGCTGGTCTAAACAAGCGCTGTTAATCTCACTGTTCCTATTCTATCAGATGTTTGACAGTTTTTTGCACAAGGCATAAACACTCTGTAATTCCCACAGAGATAAGCAGTTTTAGGAAAGCGTGAGATATTCAACAGGCAAGATTCTAAACCTCCATTGCATCAGTATGTCACTATGTCGATACAAGGTGATAAAGAAATGGCAGCTGCTTACACTGTTCTTTGACTAGTCCATAACAATCCCCTCTGCACTGTGCAGTAATTTCTTTCAGTGCTATGTATGGCATAAAACTGCCTTTCCACAAAACATCTTTTCAGAGGACATAGAATTGCAGTGCATAAAAGAAAAAGGAAAAGGGAGAAAGCCAAATAAAAATTGGGAAAAAAAAAAAAAAGAACGAAGGATTAATTTCAAGATTCAGGTTTGCTCCAAAGATGTAGAATGGTCTGAAAACTTAACCTATACAGGACAGCTTACAGTGCTATCTACAGCAAATCTATTTGTAGCCCTCTTTCTATTAAAGTAGAAAAAAATTTAATAGTTCATTAACAATCAATGGAACTGCTGCTAACACCTAGCTCTGGAGAGGACAGGACAGAAGGAATGGTGAAGCACTCTGATCTGATGGTATTGTTACCCAAAATGAGAATTACAGTCAGAAGGAAACCTTAGCCCATACAAAGAAAGAAAAAAGGAGAAATAAAACTATGGGAAATACAAGCAGGGTTGCAAGACATAAGGGCAAGAAGGGGCAGACTTTTACATTCACAGAGCCAAAGAGTAACTTATCTCAGTCTGCTTAGATAAGTTATTAGATAATAACTTTTTTTTTTCCTAACTGGTGAAAATTTCCTTGTTCACAAGCTTTCCTCCACAAGTCTGTTTGCCTACATGGGTATGTAGGTGAGGGAGGATTACACAGACCAGAACTAATTTCTTGCACCAGCATAAGGGCTATTAACTCTTCCATGCAAGGGTATGCTGAGGCTGCATTGACTCAGGAAGGCAATCTGAACTGTATTTAACATTGCTGTGCACTCCTTAAACAGTGGAAAAAGAAGAACCCCAGTCACAGAGGAGAAACCTTCTTCACAAAATATAAGATGCACTAGTGCTGGAACATACAGAGCCAAATTATACATCAGAGTAACAGCAGGTCAAAAGGAGTTCAAGGCTGATTTCCATAATCCCTCCACAGCCTTTCTTCTTGCAAACACAGAAGGATTCATACTTGGATGCATTGGTTAAAAGTAGCTTGGAGAAAGCCTATGAAACTAATTTAAAAAAAAATTGTTGGGAAAGAAATGACATACCTGAAGTCCTTCTCTCACAGCTTCCAGAAGATATGGCACCAGGGAATAGTTCCAGAGGTCTGTGAACCACACTCTGGAGCCATCAACATCCATAGGGCAAGGGAGGAAGAGGCGGGGACCTGAGAAGTCAAGTTGTGTATTAAAACAAGTAGAACTAGGGAGCATACTAAAAATAATATTCACTGAATTGAAAAAGTAGTATTGGAGGAAACTTAAGTGAAGAGAATACTAACACAGGATTACAATAAGGGAGCTATCAGTCTCCCATTATTAAAAATGAGCTAGTGTCACTTCATCCAATTCCAGGGCCTGATGAACACTTACAAGTCTTATGCGTAAAGCTATGTAAAAGGATGACTTCTTTGCTAACACAGTTATTCCACTAAAAGGCCTCAGGCACATGTATATCTCCCACCTGCTAGTTTGCTGAACTGATTGTCCATGTGTTTTTATTGCTGTAATTATACTGCAGTGTGAAAGCACAGAAAAAAACATAAGCTTAGGAAAGTTGTTACTGAGGTATTTTTTTGTAAATTTAACTTTTTAAAATTACGATCATTTACTTGAAAGTCTTTAGCAACCAAGGCAGAAATACCTGGAAATACATACTCTCTCATTGAACTTTCCATTTTCATTTCAATCTTGCTGGCTTGATGTTGTACTTCCCACTGAGGGATGACAACTTTTAAAAACATAATATATCCTTCACAAATCTCTAAAATGCTCAGCCTGCATCCTTACTTTAAACCACTACACCAATGGACTCACCAATGGTTACATCTGAAGAGCTGTGCGTTTCTAGGAAGCTGTTGAGATGATGCCATGTTTTGGGGATCCAGTCAATGATTTTCATGAGCTCATTATTGCGTACATTCCTTTCTATTTCAGTCTCAATCAGTTTTCTTCTCAGATATCTGCCCAAGAAACCTTTAACAGGCTCTGTGTGATTAGCACACAGCACCCACCTAGGTAGGAAGGAAAATTTCAAGTAGCAATGAATCGCAAATACATCATTTCCTCTTAAACGTATAGACGAAGGTAATGTCATAAGCTTCTAAGTCTTGTTAGTCAGCAAGGATAAAACTACTCCAACAAACCACATTATTTCACACTGCTACAACACCATCATAACAGGTTCCACAGGAATTCAAGACATTGCTGAAGACAAATGGAATGCAAGAATGCAATCATCTTCAGCAGCTCTCTAGAGGTGCCAGAAAGTAACATATTTCTTTCACCGTTCCCCAACACCATTCAGAGATCCATCGATACAGAGAGACACAGAAACTAAAATACTTCGCTGTGATGAGACAGAAGATCAATGTTCGTTGAAGAACTGGTCTGAGAAGCAGGAAGATGTGCAAACACAGCCACAGTAAACACAGACTGAATGTACCTGAAATTGTGATGCAGCTCCAGATTCGGTGAAGAAGAAACACCCTGGTTCATGGTTCCAATAATATAGGGACTGAAAAGAGAAAAATAATAGGGTTCTTTGAGGGAGAATTCATTCAGATATTCAGAGAATATTCTTTCTTCTTGTCTGCACTAGGCCAACTTTAAAAGAGTCTCTGGTTGTATTGTAGTCTTAGATTTAAAATATTTCTGAAGGCAGATTTTTTTCAATGTTTATTCTTGTATGATTTCCCTCTCTAGACATTTTTTGTTTACTAGTATTCATCTGTAATAAAGAAATGAATGAGGCAACCCTGTCCTCGTGTACGTCATAATTTTGCAGTAGACTTAGAATTTTAATTTCAGAAGCCGATGAATCTCACAAGTAAGACATAGCATGCAGTGATTTTATGAAGGGAAGTCCCTATGATGGCACATTTACAACAGAACTAGACAATGTCATAGGCCAGTAAAAGTTCTAGAAAACATTATATTTATTCTTGCCTGGCAATTAAGGACAGTCAGCAAATTTCATACTTCTGCACTTCTACAGGAAAACTGCAGAAGTGCAAGTGCACCAGATATACAGCTGCTTCTGCATGGCATAGTTAGTGGGTTCATACATATCCCAAATTCCACTATTATTAAGTGCATTTCTTCTTACTCTCTCATAAGCTGTACTCGTGGTACTAGTGAGCTTGTGTGATCTGACAAGGTGAAAGGGATAAGACCTTAATCCAGTCAAGTGTTTAAGTACGTTCTTAAATTCTGTAGTATGTTTACATCTCACTGCATGCATGGGATCATATAAATAAAGTGAAGCAGACACCTAAGTACTTGGCTGAAGAGGGTTAAAATTATTCAAGCACATAAAGGCTTTCCTGACAGCCTATGGGAGTCTAAGTTTCCACTGTGACATTTTATTTTGCAAAATTAACAGTTTCTACTTTTTTAATTGCAAAAAGTGCATGGAAGGGGAGAGAAGAGCTACTACCTACCATTTATTATATTTACAGTTGAGGAAACCATTGAAGATGTCACTTAGTGAACTGATATGGTGGAGGTTATCAAGAATTATGACCACAGGGAGGTCAGCACCATTGTTGTCAGCACTGCATTGCTCAGCTAGGTTTGCTAGGTATTGTCGCAGATCCTTCAGCAGAATTAACAAAAAAACCAGAAAAGATTAACCCAATTAGACCATAGATGTAATTTCAGTGGAAAAGATTTTAAGAAAGATAAAGATAACTCTGCTACAGAGTTTCCCCACTGTGTATCGTTCAGCCGGATACAGGATTCAGCACATGCAGGAAGACCTGCTTCTCAGATAGGGCAACATGGAAGCCACACGCTAAGAAAAACAAAGGCACTAAACGTAAGGCAAGTGACTGAAGCATACACATTCCTATTTGGTGGATACATTCCTTAGAAACCTGTTGATAAAATATCTCCAGAGGAAAGTAGATTGCAATAAAATATGCCATTTCCAATGGGCTGAGATACTTACATTGTTGGACCTCCATTCTTACGAATGCCACACTTACATACCAAAAAACCCCACACCAAATTATCACATATTTTAGGCTTATTGAACTGCTCCTTCAGATACCTCCTTTCACTACTCTCACTGAAAATCTGTCTGACCTTTTGGGGATACTATATCACACCCCATAATAAAATTTGTTGTGTAAATTCTTTTTTTTTTTTCTGTCAGGTGTCTGGCTGCTGTTCAGTGCTGGAGTAAAACAGAGCTTTCTGTAATCAAAACATTTCATATTTTTCTCAACATTTTGTTGCCCTTGAGGGTCTGGGCTAGTCAAGTTTTACAGCTGTATCTCTAGAGGTATCTAATTTTGTCAATGTTGGGAATGCTCAGTATTATGGACGAAGTTCCTATTGTCATTTTTCTTTCTGGATCAGGGAGAGCAGAATCTTTTTTTCTTTAATGGGAATGTGCAACCTTTTTTATTTCAAGATAGATTTTTGTTTGGCTTTTATGATCAGATGTCTCTAGGGGGACATCATGGGTTTCTTCCGTGGCATAGTACCATCTGTATTATTCAAACACTTGGTATTTGACAATGTTTTTTTCTTTTTTACTACAAACTCAGAATATCTATGTAAATCTTAATAGAAACAAGGGAAAAGGAAAAAAAGAACCCAAACCAAAACCCTAAAACAAAAACACATACAACAGACAATTTACCAGAAATCTAAAACCTTGCTCTTTTCTGGGACAGTTTTAATTATAAATGTATATGCCATAACAATAAAACATAAACACATGCCCTGCCAAAGTAAATAGCATCACAAATGCTCTGTATAAAAACAGTGAAAAGCAGTGTTTTTACTGGAATGGTCCTCTTTCCCCTTTGGGATCTGTGTTCTTCTTTCGTATATTATAGAATCATAGAATCATAGAATCATTCAGGTTGGAAAACACCTTTAAGATCATCAAGTCCAAAAATGTTAACATTATTATGTTCCGTGCAAATCAGAAAGCTCTGGGCAAAACCTTTAATTTTCTTTTCCCTGGGTACCAAGTTAGGAGTATACCCAATTTAGGACAGCAAGTGAACAGCATTGTCTGTGGCTAACACAGTAGTCACGCTAGAAGCTTGATAATCTGAGCTATGTAAATCACTGTGAATGTGACATGATGTATGATGTAATTTCAGTATGGTCAGCTTCCTGACTGATGCACGCCAGAAATCGTGCCAGCAGTTGTATTTATCCAGTGTTGATTAAGAAGCTGAACCCAAGACAGTAATTCAGAATCCCCATTCTGAAATCTTTGCTAACAATAGGCTGCTAACAATTATCACTGTAAAAAAGCAAGTTAGACTAGTATAACTACATAGCCAACCTTTCTGACAAAGGAATTACAAACACTGTAAGGACTGAATGCACATAGGGATTTGACTCTGCACCTATCCTTAAGGTGGGTTTGCTCAAGTGGAGGAAAATTCAGACTTTCTTCACAGTGCTTCAATAGTTTGTTTAAGAACAGAAAGCTCTGGTCCCTGCTCCTCGCCGAGATTGGAGAGAAAATTCAGACTTTCTTCACAGTGCTTCAATGGTTTGTTTAAGAACAGAAAGCTCTGGTCCCTACTCCTCGCCGAGATTGGAGGCTGAATTCTCGTTGGAAAATATGTTAACCGA